ACTCCCGGTGCCTTCCAGTTAGCAGTAAATTTAATAGCACAATCTAATTAATTTGGAGTGATTATACATATTCTATCATTAGTTCTATTTTCAATTAATATTTCATATAAATTAATATTCAGGAAATCTATAATAGTGTTAGTTTCATAGATTCATTTCAAGAAATTAATAATGGGGATATTATCTGGATATTCATCTTCTTTAGGCTTATTTAGATGTTGTCTTTTTCTATATTTCATCATTTTATAATTCCATCTTATTCTTTTCCAATTATTCTTTCTTGCTTCTATTTCTATTCTTTTCATCTTTCGGAGGTATTTATAATAGTTTATTTGTTCAATTGTTTTTACTTTAATATGATATATATCATATTTCTTAATATGTAATATTCTTTTTAATTTCATATATTGTTTATTATGGAGTAAATCTCTTAATCTACATATTTTTGATTGTAATATTCTTTCTATACTTCTCTTTCAACTTCTTTCTTGTTTATTTTTATTAATTATGTTAATAGTGGAAGCTACAGATTTAATATAATGATAATATTCATCTAATGTATTGATTAATATTTCATTTTTATTAATAATATTAATTATTTGATGTATTTTCTTCTTATTGTAATAATAGTTAATAAATTGTACATCTTCTTGTTCTTTCTTTTCTTCTTCTTTAAATATTTTCATTACCTCCTCTTCTTCTATTTCTTCTTTCTTGTTCATTTTAGTTATTATTTCTTTTATTTCATTATTTTTCCATTGATGTTTTATTATTTCTTCCTCCATTATTCTATTAATTTCTCATTTAATTTCATTCTTTATTTTAAATGTCTTCTTTAATATTTCTTTATATTCATTAATATCATTTATTTTAATTCCAAATTCTTGTATTAGTCTTTCTATTATTTCTTCTTTAAGTTGACCTCTTAATTTTCTTTCAAATAATTTCAAAACAAAACATTTATAAAGTGTTAAAATTTCTTCTTTTCTATCTGTTTGCTTCCCCCGTTTTTTTTTGATTGTCTAATTCAAATGTGGTGATCTTCTTATGCTGAATATCCATTTCTTCAATGGATTTCTGCGTTAACTTTCTTTTTTTTTTTTTGGAAGATCATCTTCACTTGATGATATTTCATCAGCTACTACCACATTGGGGGAGAGGTCATTCACAATATGTGTTTCTGATGAGTCTGTTATATTGTAAGTTACCTCATCTTTCTTCTTTTCTTCTTGTGTATTTTATTTTCTAATTTAGATAGTTTATCTTTCAGAAAGAGCAATTGTTGTGTTAAATTATTTACTTCAAACTTTTTCCTTTCAGATTCATCATGGAATTTGAATATTTTTTATCGCACTCGTTGTTTTTTGTGCTTATCTCCTTCTCATGCTTCTTCTTTAATGCCATAATATCCTTTTGTTAATTTATTAATGGTTTGGTCTTTTATTTGTATTTCCTTTTTCATTTCTTCTTTCTCTTTCATATCCTCCTCCACTTTTCCTCTATTTCTTCTACTCTTTCTTCCTTTTCATATTCTTCTTTTCTTTTTATTAAATTCTTTATCATCTTTATCTTCATTTTCAATACTCATTACATAGTTATTATATATTTTATTGTCATTAATCTCAATTGGGTTGTATTGATTATTGTCTTCTTCCATCGTCATACTAATAGTTTCTTCTTCCATTCTGATTGTTTTTGTTTTTTTCTCGTGCAAGAAAATACCATCTTCTCCATATTGTTGATGATGTATATTCTTTAATCTTGGTATTTTTAATTTCTTCTATTTCTTGTGGTGTAAGTATTTTAATTTCTTCTTCAAAGAGTTTTTTCCAATATTCTTTGTTTTGTATTTCAATCATTTCTTTTCTTTGATTTCTATTTTGTTTCTTATTTTGATATTGTTTATACCTTCTTTGAGTGTTATTGTGGTACTTGTTTTTCTTATATTGATATTGTTTATTTCTATTGAAGTTGTTATTATTATTAAAGTGTTTATGACGATGATTATGATTGAAGTGATGAGTGAAATGATTTGTATCAACTATGTTGTGATAGTTATGGTTATAATTCTTATTGTAATGATTAGTGTGATTATTCAAGTATTTCTGTCCATACAGATAATACCTATTTTCACTCATTCTTCTATCATTTATATTTGATAGTTAAATATGAATTTCTTCTTCTTTGATTATTTGTTTTTCTATATTTTTTGTGGTGTCTCCTGTAATGCATCCTTTTTTGTTTGATGTTGTTGAAATAAGAAATAAATGACAAACAAATAAATAAGAAAAATGATTCTTTGACTGTTTTCAAATTAATAAATAACAAATATTAATAAATTAATGAAATGAATATTAATGAGAATAATTCAATTTAAATGAAATAAAATAAAAAGAATGATAAACATCCAATGTTTCAATGAGTAATACATTATTTAAGTTTCATATTTCTTACATTAATTATCTTATTTATTATTCATTTTATTTAAATCATTGTTTATTTAAAATATAAAATATCATATCTTATATTAATTTATTGAAAATAAATTTAAACAAAATTTTATTTAGTTTATTTAATGTTTTTAAATTACTTCATCAAACATACAGAAGAAATATAACCATATCGTCTTTCTAATGTTGTTTTATCAGTACACATACTTATTATTCTTTTAAATATTTATTCTTTACGATGAATAGTACTGATAAAATGTTTTCTAGTTCTTCTTAATCAATAAATTCAATATCTTCTTTTATAAACATAAATATTTTGGTAATTTTGTTTTCTAGTTATTTCTTTTAATTCATTTCTTGTTCTTCTTCCTCTTGATTTTTTTTTTAGGAATAATAATTTATTTGATTTCGGTTCTTTCAATTTCCACATCATATTAGTTAATTTCTTCTATGTATTTCATTCTTTTATTTCTTTGTAATTTCTTTATTTTTATTTATTTGGTTATTCTTTTCTTGTTTAATGTTTCTATCTTTATTTATCTTTTTCTTCAGTAATACTCTGATAATCATTATCTCTTTTTCATTTATTCTACATTATTTGCTGTTAATAATCTTATCATTATCAACACCCTTCAATTCCATTTTATCTTTGTGATTATCATAACAAGATGAACATTTTGATTCATTAAATTATATTGGAAATTTATTATTTTCCAGTTATTCCATTAAAAATTTCCAACATTTTTTGTTGTTATTTATCTACTTTTATTTTCTTCTTTTCTTCGTGAACTTCTTTATAAATAGAATAATAACATTTGATC